GATTAATTAGCTCCTCGATGATACAGGCGCTCGACTGAAATAGCAACCGATATCACTCGAAGAATTCAACGGAAATCGAGTCAAGGTTTAACGACGCTATTCCGACGAGTCTGTTCATCCCGCAGAACCTGCAGGCTTCTGTGCAGCGTCGGATAATTTATACCCAGCGGCGATCGATGCAGTATCGTTCGATCGGAAGACAAAGCCGCGCGAGGGAGAGTAATATCCGGGGATCGCCGAGAGGATACTCGCTCGATCGGAATGAATCATCTCGAATGGTACGGACGCGACGGAGCCCTAGATACCGATGAATCGCAGCGTCGCGGCTCGGGGAAATAAGTTCCAACGCGGACGGATCAGAATAGGTTGCCCCGTGTCGCGACCCGTAGATTTGTGACGGGGATACGGGCGCGAATGTACGAGCGCCTCGTCACGTGTACGCGCGATGCACTTTGCAGTGCGGACGTTGCATACATACATTTCCCGGCGACTCTTAGCGCGCCGCGGAGAATCCGAATGGAACTCAGAATTTAATGAACATTCTTCGCGGTGGTTGTACAACTTCCGCCCGGGAGGCGGGGTAAATTCTAAAAGTGTGTTTTACAATTCAAATTCGATATCGAAGTCGGCGGAAAGTGGGCCAGTGGTAATTCAAATCAGTTCGGAAGGGTACGAAGGTGGAAACGCGCTGTAGGTTGAAGATCCGACGAAGCTCCGTCGATTCCCAGCGATGGACGCGATGCACGACGGTATTAGATGCTCGCGATGTAACGTCTGTCGTCGATCATACGACGCGCGACGTCTCATGCATCATTCCGCGCGAATTCCGGGATCTCGACGTACGAGACACTTACATGTCCCGGCCGCTTACAGCAGTCAATCGGTATGACGAATGCGATTCACGTGGTCGTGACGTATCGTTCCATTACGCAACGACGCGAGGAACTGGAGAGCGCCGAAGTGCATTACGTGTCATTAGTTTCGCTGCGTCTACGAGGCTCGGATCGATCGGAAATACTGTTCGATTAACTGTCGCGACGGTTCAACGAATGGCGGTTTCGATAAGATCGCGAGAAGAAGGAAACATGATAAATCTGTTTAGTCGACGGCGTCGGAGGATGTTATTTAACATCGAATGTGTTTTCTATTATCGAGCCGCGATTATTCGGAACGTGTTCTGTTATCACCGGCGAATTGCATTAATCGGGAACCTCTTGAGACTGTTTGCCATGCACGCGATTAATCATTGGACAGGGATGACTAATCACACGATTGAACGCGAGTCGGTGAATGCATAATATCGAATACCCTGTTACTCCGTGTAACAGCTAATTCACTCGAATTGTACACGAAATTACCGAAACGAGAGGAAACTTTGGTATTGAAGCCTTCAGTGTGATGCTGGTTAATATGCTGTCGATATTTTTGAACAAGCGTCGCGGATAGAATGCACCGCTGGCCTAGATTCCGATGAATACCCGAGGAAGTTTAACTCCTTTGAAATAAAGTTCCTTCACAGCTCGAGGATCGCGAGAATTAATCCAATCGAGCACGGTTCGTATGATAAACTCGGGGGAAAAGTAAGTTGTGTGTGCACGGATTTGTTCGAGTTTAATTGAAAAATTTCGTCCGCTTCGAAGCTGCTCGGAGATATTCAACGCAGCGCCCTCGCGTACGTTTTTCTACCGTCAACTTAATATTAAGCAAACCAATGTAACTACCGGCCCTTAGAAAAATGGCGTAATTCCTCGTAAAAAGAACGAGCCGCCAGGGACCCGCGAAGACACGCAGCGGGGACGTTTTTCTATTACGGCGCTCGTGATAAATGGTGCCATAATATTTTTATCCTCGCCCATGAAGCGGGACGTATTACTTTATTGGTCACTCCGTGGACCAATTTTCGTATCAGCCTTCGAACTCCCGGCCCTCGGATGGACGATTATCGAATATCCTATCTAATCCGTTCCATGCCAGATACCCTAATTTGTACGTCGACCCGGAGAAACAAGATGGTCGACGGACGGCCATTATGACTATGCTCCGAGGCTCTAGAGGATGGATTTATCAATCTTTTCACTCGCGATGGGATAGTGCTGTATCTAGAACACCAGAGGCCCAACAAATATGAAGCTGAATTTTCTCTTTTTCGTAATTTTCATATTCCTTGCATTCTCATTAGCAATTTCAAGAAGTAAAAGAATAATTTCGCTAAGTGTGGTATAATAAATTTCATCGACTACTATTGACTGGTCAATATCACGGAGCTGCGTTCATATCGACTGCAAAGCTAAAAATTCTGCTGAAGTACTTTTTACCTGCTGGGCTCAGGTAACAGAAGGGTTCAACCGCAGAATAAAACAAGAAGAGTAACCTCATCCTTATAACGACGTCCCTATTGAATGGCACCTTAAGAACTGCACAAAGAATTCTCCTTTATTACACAATCGAACATGCAGAACGAGCTAAACTCATTAATTCCAATTAAATTGAATTTCCAAGGAAGAACATTAGTCTCCATTAGTTTCTCTTTCACAGACGATTAACGCGGGATTATCGTCATCTAATAACGTCGCGTTAACACAGAGAATCCTATGCCGTCGTAAATCCAGTTACAAGTAAGTAACGTTAGAACGCAGTGTTCCCTGCTAGCCGTGAAACGAGGAATCAATTTCTATTAGCAAGTGAAGAGATCCACGAATGTGATATTACCGTTGGCTGTTCGTGTGATTTGGTAGGCGGCCAAAAGGACGCGAGCCCATTTCGTGTCGGATGTCGGTCTAAAGTTTCTCCCGAACTGTCGTCGCCCATTCGGCGGAACCCCTCGACGGTACGTAGCTGATAAGTTCGGTGATTCCGGCTCCGCAGGAAAATCTGGACGCGCCTTTAGAAGAGGAGCGGCAACTTAATAATGGAACTCCTCTATTTGCTCGGCCTCGGTCAATACCGCTGTTTACCGTTCGAAAATGAAAATGTAATTCGCGTCGATGCCTCGCTCGAGTAAACCTCTCCGCGTATTTTACTGTTCATCCAATATTCAAATACAATTTCCCTTCGCGATCTGTGCCGCGTGGCGTCAAAAATATTCCATGAATTCTTCCAGTATCTCCGGCAGCTTCGCCCGCGAGCCTTCCTCGCTGGGATTCGATCGAAGGATCATCTACGGTTCGCCGAACGCGAAAGCGACTCATTTATTACTTCGACGTTTCGGCTCCATCGAGAGATACCGCAATTTTCCGCGAAAGACTCGCCCAATTATTTCGGCGGCGTATCTTTGATACGCGATATCAAGTCGACCTCCTCAGACTTCACGTTACAGCCGTCGTCGGGCAACTATTGCCCGTTTCGCTGCTGATTTCGACGCGACCCGTCGATAAACCTCGGTCTATAATTCCACCGCGCACCGCCGACGTCGGAAGGAAGTTCATTTTCCGTTTTGACGGCGATAGCAACGAGTAATCGAGTCACGATCCGCGTTTAGCTCTAACGAACTATTTAGCGGAATTCTAAGGCGCCGCGGAAACTTCGGAACGCCGAGTTCCGGGATACAATCCGCCAGACGTCAGTCAAATAACAATTTCCGGCATTGAAATTCCCTTGAGAGCGTATAATTCCGCTCCGAAAGTTTGTTGTTCATTTAAAGTTGCCGCGTGAAATTCGATGTTCCTACTCGAAGGCGTTTTTTAATTCGACCTTTCATACTGATTAACTCGCCTTTCGACTAAAGTAACTATATTCACTATATTTACTGTAGTGTACGCCGAAATAAAAATGCCTGAATCACACGTAACCGAAGTCAATAACCCAAAAGCATCGGAATTCACCTGTTGGCCAGGTATTAGCCGCATCCGGCGGACGTCTGGCCCAATGTAAATACGCCCGTCATACGCTCCGCAATTAGAATTCGTCATGGTAATTATTACGGGCGTACTGCGGACGCGGTATGCGCGAGAGCGTGGCGCGTGGACAGGGGCTGGGTAAATAATAAACTCTTATCACGCGGCAGCGATAATTTGTTCGCCGCAGTCTAGCTGAGGCCGAATTCATTTCGGAGAGCGATACGATAAATCTCACTTTCGATTTAAGTCCCGTTCCCAAGGTCGGGGCACGGCTTCCCGGTAATCGGATACTTAATCAGCGACAAGGCACATTTACACGTGAGCCGCTTCACAGTTCTCGCAACGGCACCGCGACTATGACACACGCGGTTCGTGGCCGAAAAACCGGAGCGCGTGCCTGAGGCGACGTCGGGAAACACACCCAGTTCTGTTATTCGATTGGCGACTCATCGCGAAAGATGAACGGTGAAAAGATCGGCGAGAACGAAGAAATCGAAGGAACGATTCCGTACAAATTGAATTAGCAAAATGTTTCCTTCGAGTGTTGATCGTATTCGAAGCGAAAACGCCTCGCGAGTTCGCACGAAGACGGAGCTGGGTGTAATTAGAGGACATGGAGGTGTTTCGTTCCACGGTGCGTAACCGTGTTTGCAGTCGGAGATACATGTTTACGCATGCACCGTGGGCAGCGATGGAATTCGAGTCAGCGGTAATGATAAAGCCGCGGGCAGAATTCCGTCTGATCGCCGATGTATTTTTGGGTGCCTGTTGCTTGTGTGCTCCTACGAAAAGGTCCCCACTGGAAGCCAGATGTAGATGATAGGGGGAAAGGGATAATGCGATACAAAGGAGGGGAACCCAGTCGAAGATGCTGAACAGTGGGGGACTAGCCAGGGGGCACGAGCACAATAACGACTGAACGCGTCGAGATGTGCCTGTTTTCACGTACTCCAAACGAGAACCCATTCCCCTGTTCGTACGGATGATATTCGAGAGATCATCCGCTGTATGTTGCGAAAATTATCCGATCAAAAAGGCAACGGTATCACAGTATCAAGCAGTACCGTGAAACGGAGCGTGGAAGCGGCGACTCTGACAGGCGAGGAACGCCGTTGGTGCAATTTCGAATTGTACGTAAGGCTGTATGGGTGATGGAGTACTCACGTTCCGGTAGTTCTTTGTTGTGGCTAGGCTGGAGGAAACGCTCAGCACGCGGGACACCTCGTACCATCGGACGATGCACAGCGCTCGGCAGGATACCGCGGCCATCCTCTTCGGGCACGTCTCCTCTGTCAGGCACGGGAAGCACAGAACGAACGGACACTCAGCGAAAACGTTTCGCCTCTCTCACCAGTCACTGACACCTGACACTGGGGGACCAACGGCCGTCTTCGAGCGACTACCTACGTCGACGACGGGCGGCATCACTTGCCGGCTCGTCCCTGCGGCTCGAGACCCAGACCTTGCGACGACCAATGGCGTGACATGCGCGAACCGCGGTTCGTTCGCCGCCATTGGTTCGCCGCGCCGCGGCCAATCGGCTCGCTGACCGGCGAGTCCCGCGCACATATTCAATATTTGAATCGCCGCTGCGCGCATCACGCACCAGCATTTCGCCGATCGTTACACTGCGGATGTCCACGGTTTCGTAGATCGACCCGAGATAACGGATGCTGCTGTCACCGTGGACGGTCGAGGTTTAGCCGGACTCGAGGCAGAGGTGAATGACACTTAGAGTGGATGTTCAGAATTTGTCGCTTCGACCATTCGCGAAGACTGAAATGTAGACGTTCAGAGGAAGCTGAATTGTCAGTTGGTTAATTAATAGGAAAAATGGGAACTACTGCCGCTATTAATTGAATCATGTCTGCGACTTGGTATAAATATGATCTCGTCTCGTAATGTCGGCATTCGTCTGTAGGGTTAAATTTGTTTGTAACTGGTATGTAAACTGAAGGTGTGAATGAAGTTTCTTCTATGGGATTCGGTTAAGATGACGATCGTCGATAGTTATCTTCAAAGCCAAGTTCAGCTACGATGCTGGAACCTTGATATCTGTTCTAACCTACAGTAACCTGAACAGGGTGGATTCATAGCCCGATAAGGGGATGGTTAACTCTCATCCAGACGAGTTCGAGTATACCTACTACGACGACGATCGAGCGGAGCACCATAATGGCAGTCTAACTTTCCACGTACCGTCGGCGACTTCCGTCCGCGTCGTCCTGGTGATCCTGCTGCGCGTCGGTTTCGTGCTGATACACGTCGGTAGCGTGCCGGTGAACAATGTCAACCTGATATTGCTGCAGAACGTGGTGGACGTTTGCTGGGCGACGATGGCGTACGCCATGGTCGGTTACCTGATCGCCTACAATGGCGACGGGAATGGATTGATAGGGGAAGGATATTGGATAGGCGACGCGGCTGTCGATAAGGACGAAGCTTTAATTGGCTGGTCGCTCGTTGTTATCGCGGCAGCCATTTGCACCTCCGGCGTCGTCGGGAGGATGCACACCGTCGGTTATCTTCTGATGGGATTCCTGCTGGCTGGCTTGGTGCAGCCCTTCTTGATCCACTGGATCTGGACGCCCGGAGGGTGGATAAAGAAGAACCTGTTGAACGGAAGTGCGGTCACGTTCAGGGACTACGCTGGAGCTACAGTCGTTCACCTGGTCGGCGGGCTGTCGGGGCTCATGGGCTGCGTCGCGCTGGGAAGAAGGATCCTCCGGTTGAGCGCTATAGATGACGCTAGCATCGCCACTGGTACCTCCGGCACTGTGTTCGCTGGTGAGCTGATGGTATTCGTTGGACTCCAGGTGAATCCGCGTGAATCCAAATATCTTAGCGAAAGGAGAAAATATGATTCATTCGCGGACGTGAATGCTATAGCATTCATTTTCGTTGTGATGCGAAGTGACATGAATGCAACATTCAGAATAAGTCACATTATCATGCATTTAACCCTTTGCACTCTGTAGGCTTCAATACTGCACCAGTTATATCAAATATTTTAATGAATCAAAGAAACTACCCTACAATAATTCGATTTTCCACGCATCGAAATTTTGCTGAGAAGGAAAATGAAAGATCTAAGAAATGTTATAGCATTTTACCATAAAAATTAGTTGCAGTTGCTGATAAATTACAAAACCATCTGGAGTGCTAAGGGTTAATTCTATGCAGCTTTAATCTTTTGAAATTGTTATGCACTTTAACGCTCGGAGCACTGCATTCTAGTAGTTTATTTCTGCAGCTCATTAAAATTTTTATTATCCGAACGTGTTAATAGCGTGCTCTCTAAAAATCTGAATGGATCCTATATCTGTTCATGATAATGGTAACGGGATTAAATGAAACCAATGACGTTCTAATGTTTAGAGTCTGAGCATGTCGAACGAGAAACTCCGGTTCGGAAGCAAAACCGACGGCCACATCTATCTGAACAACTTGCTAGCCGCGTCTTCGTGCAGCGTGCTGGTCGTAGCTTTCCATTTCGTGTTCACCGGGGAGGAGTTCAATCATTGGACGGTAATGAGATGCGTCCAAGCCACGGTAGCTGGTCTGGCGATGGTATCGGCCGGAACGGATTTCTACTCGCCCGAGATAGCGCTAGCGTTGGGCGCGATAGGGAGCATCGTCTTCTTCTTGGTCTCGAAAATGGTGTTCCAGAGCGCGTTGGAGGATTATTGCAACGTCGCCGCTACCCACGTCGCCTGCGCGTTTTTGGGCAGCTTCTTGGCTCCTCTGTTCGATATCGACCGGAATGCAGAGGTTACGGCGAATTTGATGCAATTCTTCTGGCAGACGATCTGCCTTCTCACTGTAGCCTCGACTGTCGCGATTGTCATGTATGCTTTCTTCATTTCGCTGGAAAGCTTGGGTCTGCTTAGAAACCGGTCGGAACACTTGAATCATTCGAGGGCGAACAGAGCGATGGAGACTCTCGAGGTTCCTCGGAGGAATTTCTTTCGGAGGCTTTTCCGCGCCGACGAGGATCCCGTTTATATCCAGCCGGGATCGACGTCGGACTCTGCCAGGCGACCGAGCGTTGGTATCCACGCGATGAAGTACCAAGGCGAGGACGCTGCCGTCGAGAAGGGCAGAGTGGTGGAAACGAAACAGCCCGCGTAGCTCGTATTTTGAAATATTCAAATGATAAATATGGAGACGAAAGTAAAAGTGCGAAAAATTGAATGGAATTTTGATATCCTCGTTGTAACGTTCCACTGTAAACGATGGCGCAACGAAAGAATAGAGAAAGGATGGTAATGGGTTCAAGATTTTAAACATTTCTTTTATTAGAACTTACCGACTATTCATACAGTTATTACAGTATTTTACAATAGAATAATTTTTAAGTTAAATAATCAAAAGTCCTATTAAAGTGTCGTACACATATTTTACACGTGTCCCCCGCTTATTTGCACAATGATAGCTTTCTCCGTCCCCTTTTCATTTCTCTGCCTGTACGACAGCCTCCGGGGACAGCCAAAAAAAGTTCCTACTCTGCGCGATTCTCGGTCAAACTGAAAATCGTTAATACGCGCGCAGAGTATTGGCAGCACCTTATCGTTGGCTCGCGTTTCAACTGATAACGAGTGCGATCGATGAATTGAGTCACGATTTCGAGAGAGATTTCCATTTACGAAACGCATACGATTGCGAGCACACGCGATAAGCTCGGTTAGAATCGAGAAGTTCGAATTGATCTTATCGAATAGAAAATCAATTGCAATTTCCATATGTTCCAAGGCAGTTTCCGTTCAGAATTAAAATGGATAGGGTCCGAAGAGAATCGTGTCGACGAGCCAACGATAAAGTATCGCCGATACAATCGATCAGCGACCACGAAGAATCTTCGGCCGACGTTTCTGATTCCGTTTTGTCAAATATTATTATTGTCAGCTGGCGGCAAACCGGACAGTCGTTGCCGCCGCCATACCGAACGAAAATCGTGAATATTGACTCTAGAGATCCGACGTCGCGATTACAATAGTACAACTGTATATACAACACTGGTAAAATGGCACGATTCGACGAAACAGATCAATCGCTTCAGTTTACGTGGATATCCGTTGTTACTCGTTAACTATTTATTATATTAACAATGAACTTTGTACATGATTTCGTTAACCGTCACGTGACACAGTTTAACGGCAGTATAAAAATGAAAATAAAATATACAAAGGGGTAACAAAGGAGAAAAACGAGAAAAAAAGGGGGAAAAAAAAGAGAAGGAGAAACGGTTCGCGCGACGACGTTTAAAAGTGTAAAAACGGTTCCGATCGTCGGCGAGACAACGATCGAGAAGAACTTCAGCGACTCGCCTCTAGCTTTGGCCCAAAATTGACGGATTCTCGAAAGTTCGTTACTGCTCCCGTTCTAGACGATTTGTGCAGCGATTCCTTTGCTCGAAACGACTCTCTGATATGACAGGTTTTGAACTTAGCCCCGCGAACGAGCCGAGACGCGTTCGATTTGAAGGACACGAAGGAAATCGGTCGTCGAGGACGACACACCGGCGCGGACTGATCGATCGAATTCGACGGGCCGGCATCGATCGACTGGAAAGATACGTAAGTAGCTAATATATCGTATACAAGGTTCAACAAAGACAATAGTAACTGATATGCATTCAACAAACGATCGTCACGATTAAACTATCTCGTGTACAACGATATTTACCTCGCAAACTCGCGACTCTACGGGACTCCCTATATAATACATCAGGTATTAAAGTTTCGAAAAATCGATCGATCCCCATCAACAACGAATATATTCACCTACCACGGAACTCAAGGGTGTATCGTTAGAAACCGTAGTCCGCGCGCCTCGCACGCGACAACGGCGACAATTGCGAATAGGCAGTTATCACCTCGGCATGGTGAAGATCAGCGGTTGACGATCCAACGGTAAGATCGCCCCATCGAATTTCATCGTGTTAAGTCAATTTTTCATTATGGTACACCTACGATCACATCGAAATGGTACGATACATGAATGTACAAACGTGTCTCTCTATTCTTTCTCTCACTCATTCACTCGGCCATTTGCATACAGTTCTCCATCGGTCCTCCCCCATCGCCGGTACCAAGAATAGTATTGTCAAAATATACATAGAATCATCATTATCGTTTCCTTAAATACGCTTACGCGGCTAGAATTAATGTACATCGGTGTCTCCGAGAGGTAAGTGGGCGGGAGTGAAGCTCGAAGAAATCCCGGAGGTCTCTTACTCGCGGCGAAACGATCCTGCGATTAGTGCCAGGAGTGAAGGACTGGCGGATCGCGTCGATCCAACAAACATCGACGCTCCGTCTATCTCGCGGATCACTTTCGTGAGGAAATAAATCTCTTCAAACATTGTAACACGATTTGGACAGATCTCGTCTCGCAGTGTGTCATCGTTACTTCCCACAGGACCTTCGCCCCCTTAATATCGTCCAGAAGTTCGTCCACCGTCGTCTATTCTTTACTACTCGAGCCGCAGAATAAGCGAAGTCTCCGAGCCCTTGAATTCTATTCGTTTGCGTTTGTTACCAAAATATTGATTTTATCAAATAAAACGCGCCACCATAGAGGATTCAATTTCCGGGCGGAAGTTAGGAATCCTTTGTTCTTCGCCGTGGTAGTAAAGATTAGAGCGATCGAGTTGAGTTTCTAAGACGAGGATGGCCGTCGACGGTCCCTGTTCCTTTTCAACGATCATTTGCTCCGAGGGAGCAACGATGACGATAATAATATATAACGTTAATAATAGCGCTATTAACAACGATCGACAGCCACGGCCGTGTCACCGTGATACCGTTCTCTGTTAGTGACTAGTTTCGCAGGCTCCCCCATCGGTTTTAGGCCAACCGCCCACTGGGATCTAGGCCTGTAATGGTCCTTCCGTCGAGGATCTCGAGTCCAGTGGAGCGATCAATATACTTTACAAAATGTATTTTACAGATCTTCCGCTAGCAAACGATGGATCTCGTTCACCGTCGAGATGAGGAGTGCCGAAACGGTGTCGTTTCACATGATCGACGTTTGCTAGGTCATCACCGTGTCGGTCAGGTCCTCCTTCAGCCATTGCGGGATCGTCCGAAGTCCGAGTCTCTTCAATAATTTAACTAGGGCCGTGTTGTGGGACAGATAATACCTCTGCAAATAGAGCAGCTCGTAAAGAAACACTCTTTTTTCTTTGTCATCACTTCGATACGTTCACGGTTCTTAGGGAGGCTGGGATAGGTAGACTTGGGTATCTTGGAGTTTGATGGAAGTTCTTCTTGGATAATGTCTTCTTAAAATGGCTATACCATGAATAGTCCGCTTTATTAAATGAGACGCTCAGAAGTGAATGCGGTTATATTCATCTTTTAATATTTTCTAATTTTTGTAAATTTTAATGGAGTAAATAGTACTCTTTTCAGTTATTAAAGGATTCAATCGTTTTTTCGTGTTTTCTAGGTCAGGAGGCCCTTTTTTGTAGATTCTGAATATGTATAATAATTTCAGAAAAACATTAATTTTCTCAATTTTCTAGACGCATTGGCTTCTGAGCGACTCAAATCTAGAATTTCTTCTCAACCGTCCTTAGGTCACGATAGCCATCTTTCTTTAGCTTCAATCGAGATATTGAAGTTAGCTACCCAGAACTGAATCTTTTGAACCACTCTTATCGTTACGATCCAAATTGAAGATTTCAAGAAATTATCTTTTATTAGTGGCATCATTATAATTATATTTTTCAAATAGATCGTCGTTGAATATCGATTAATCAACACCAGTTTCAGAAAACACAGATAATAAAACGAGAAAGCAAACATTGTACCAGACGATCAAGGAATCCAGAGGATGAATCATGTATCAAGGACAGGTCGAAGGACTTACCTTTCCGGAGTGAATGGATTCATTGAAACAGGTCGGGACAATGAACGTATCACCGTTAATGGCTCAACTTGCCTGCAACAATTTATACGACTTATCCTCCATCGGCGGGTACTGGCGGCCTTTGCTCTTCCCGAGGCATTTCGTTCGATCCTCGTTGGTCACCTGGCAAAAGAATCCCTTCTTCGGGTCGTACCTCAGATGGGACGAATAATTAAACGCCGGCGTGATCTTTAGGAACCTTTGCAGCTCGTGCAGCGTCTCCACGGGATTCTGTCGCAGTTGCTCGCCGTCTATGATGTGCAACTGCTGAGGCGGGTAATAGGAGAGCCATCGCTCTAGATGCTGAGCGTATTTTCCAGGATTTAAACATCTGCAATTCAAGAAGAGCGATCATTAACATCCGTCCGTACCGGCGAATTAACATTTTAGAGGGTGTAATCTACGCTACCCCGCTCTCTTACGAAATCGCGTCTACGATCTACATTAGCAATTCAGATTTCAGTTCTATCCTTTGTGGTCGTTTCGCGGCTGGGCAATATCATTGCTCGCGTTAACTTATTAGCTGCCGGTGGCTCGTAACTCCGGCTGGGCTTTAATGCGTTAAGTATCGAGGATACTCGTCGAGTGCAGCTGTTTCGAGTATTAAAGCTGATGCTGCGTAATTCTTAATCGTTAGAATGTTACGAATTTAAGAAAGGGAATGACAATAATGTTCAACGAAACGAGAAGTTCGAAGAATTGAATTCATCGGATGAAACATTTATGGGACGCGGTAGCTTCATTGAAGAGGAAATGTAGACATTTAATGAACTCACCTATTCCTGAGGTCACGCAAAGGCTTCGGAGCAGTATCGCTCGCGGTGATCACCGAGTGAAAGGAGTAATTGTTGGCCACCGCGTCGCCGTGGACCCTCGTATGCTGGTACCAAGAATAAGCTCGCCTCGCCGGCGATAGGAGTATAGTAATTAATTTCGCTTTGGGCAACAGCGCGTGAGCCCTCCGCGGCACCAGTTCTCCGTCGAAATACGTAGCGGACTTCTCGAAAAGGTACCGCGAACTCTCGTTCTTCGACGCTGGAAAGAAGCTCATGTACCTGGACAAAATGATGCAACGATTCGATACAGAGATCCCACGCGAAGTTGCTAACAGTTTCAACCCTTTGCACCCGGAAGTCTCTAGTGTTTAATTTTTAAAATTTTCTCACCGGGCGAAGACGATATTCCTTGAAATTAACTCGAAGGGAAATCACAAGTGCATTGAGGAAAGCTATTTTATTAGAATATTTCAAGTTCAACATTAAATATCAGATTTTATAGTTTCAAAATGGCGACTGAGTCGCCATCCGTGTGCAAAGGGTTAAATTACAGTATGAGAGTGTTTCATCTTCGGAGAGTACGATCAGATATACTTAACGATATTAATATTTCATGCGACAAGTAAATTAATCGACCAACTCGATGCACATGGCTCAAGATTCCAGTTGGCGCGCTTACCAGTCTAGGCCCTTGTAATAATTTTTCCCATTAAAGAACTGGATCTCTTCGAACGTGTCCGGACTCGGCAAGTTGCTGCTTATTGCTGGGTGAATGGACAGGAAAGTGTAGAGAGCGGTGGTGCCGGTTTTTTGGGGGCCGATTACCAGGAACCTCGGCAGCTGATCGCAGGTTTTGTTCCTCGACCAGATCTTCTGGTGCCTTTGATCGTCACAGGGATTCTGACGTGGAAAACGAAGCGGAACTTTGAGAATGGAGGCTAAGCCTTCTCCCTATGAGATTGAATCTTTCTACGAGTTGCATCGTCTATCAATTTTAAACGATATTTCTCTAGATTACATAGATTATTTTCTAAATCATATCTCTATAGATAATACACTATTTTCTAAACTTGATCTAGACAATCTGATAAATTAAAATTCATTAATATTCGCTTCGTTACAATTCCACTAGCATTAACAAACAGCGATATACTTAGCAATCTAAACTATCCCAGAAACGAGTCCCAAATTCGTCCATCTCTTTTCTGAAATACTTCCAGCAGGTGATACAGAAATAGTAAAAAACGATCGAAGAACTTACGCCCCACACAGGATCAGACTCCTCCGGGTAAAGTTGAAAGTAACGTTCAGCCAGTTGGAGGGGCGGCGCGCTGGACAGCCTCAAGTTCGTCCAGCATTGAATGAACTTGATCACCGACTCGAAGGTGTACAACGCCAGACGATCGTTCCCGTAATTCGACATGTGCGTCATAAAAATATTGATCTGTAAAGGAGGATCGTGACAAGGTACCGAATGTCCGGCGAGCGAAACGAATGGGAACGGTTCAAAGGGATCGGTCTACTTACAGGATTGTGAACGATGGTCTGGAACAGCTCGCCGCCCTGTATCAATTTGTCCAGCTTGTCCCGGCCGCCCGGGTATTTATCGATGAAGATCGTGTGTGTGAAAAGGCCGCAGGTCTGCCTCGGTAGTACCTTCGCGCAGAGAACGAAAGGACATTGTCACGTATCCGTTTCATCATTTAATTTTCCCGGGTAAACAAGAAAGCGGGCTCTGTCGCACCCCGGGGAAATCAATGTTTTATGGTTCTTATCGGCTCGACGAGTGTTTAAGCGTCCCTTCTTTCCAGTCGGACATTGATTTCCGTCCTCGAAACTCGATGGAAGAAACACGGTATTCCCGGTGCGACGCGGACGCGTCTGCAGCGGGATTTTTCCGAAGTTTCATCGGTTTTTCGTGGATTAATAATAGATCCCGACTTTTATTAGTTACGGGGTAATTTTCGAATGAAAGGGGAAACTGGAGTGAGCGATTCTTTTTGCGGGGGAAATGGGAGAGCTGTTGGCGATCGATGATTAATCGGAGAGCGTTGGACGGAATGAATTCGGAAGTCTTCGTGGAATGTAATTTGAAGATTGTTACAATTATGTGTTCTAGAGTAAGATGTCGTAGATATTGGAAATTTTAAATAGTACGAGTATTGGTAATTTTGAATATTGTAGCATTGGTAATTTTAAATATTGTGATGTTGGTATTCTTAGATGTAGATATTGGTAATGTTTAATACTGCGAGTATTGGTAACTTTGAATATTGCAGCATTAGTAATTTTAAATATTGCAAGTATTGGTAACTTTAAATATTCTAATATTTATATTTTTAGATATCGTAGATATTGGTAATTTTGAATATTGTAGCATTCGTAATTTTAAATATTGTAATATTGGTATTCTTAGATGTCGTAGATATTGGTAATGTTAAATACTGCAAGTATTGGTAACTTTAAATATTGCAGCATTAGTAATTTAAAATATTGCAAGTATTGGTAGCTTTAAATATTCTAATATTGATATTTTTAGATATCGTAGATATTGGTAACTCTAAGTATTGTAACATTGATATTTTTAGATATTGTAAATATCGGTAACTTTAAATACTGCAGCATTAGTAATTTTAAATATTGTAATATTGATATTTTTAGATATCGTAGATATTGCTAACTCTAAATATTGTAATAACGATATTTTTATATATCGTAGATATTGATAACTCTAAATATTATAATATTGATATTTTTAGACATCCTAGATATTGGTAACTCCAAATATTGCAGCGTTAGTAATTTTAAAAACTGTAACATTAACCATTTAAAATATTCCAGAAAGAAATGATAAATTACGAACGACTGTAGGTCGTTAATAGACACACTTACCATTATGTTACGATGAATGAAGCCGCGTCTTAAACGAGCGGGCCTCAGATGGGGATACTCCTCTGTGCTGGTGACTTTGATGTTCCATACTCTTTTCCAGGCCTCGTACAGCCCCTCGTGGACCGGATAAACGCCGGAGTGATGTGGACTTACGCTGTACCCGCTTCCCGTCGGGATCCCGTGATCCTTCGCGAATTGTTTGTTCAACGCCATGTCCAGCTGCAGATGCGTTACATTCTCGTAGAGGTGGGGCTGCTGATGGTTCCACATGTGCGAAAACCACGTAAATCTGCAATTCAGAGGCGAGGCCTCGTTGCATATTTAAAATCCCCTCGAACTTCTCGATTGTTCGCCCCCATTCGAACGCGCGTTCATCTAAAACTGCTAATTCCCGACGCTACGCGAAACTTGTATTACAAAATTCCGATAAAACGGCGCAGCCTCGTTTTCAACTTCGTTTCTCGCGAATCAATCTGTGACATTCGGAATTCAAGATACGATCGAGTATTCACCCTTCGCGCACCTATATCGAATGCGACTCGACACCAGTTTTATTCACAGGCGTGCTTCTTTGTCGAGATATTTTTAACACTATTCCTATCGCGACCAGTCGAATGACTTTTTAAAATTTCGATTGGAATTTCCCATAGACAACGCAATTGAATCGTCTTTACACTTCACGACTTTTCCTAAAATATGCGTATAAAACATTTTTCAATATTCACACCTTTTTTATTCTTTATTATCTTCATTCTATATTAAAAAATATAAGTTGTGCTAAAGACCAGTCATTTGACTGGTCGCGGTAGGAATAGCGTTGAAACACATTATATTACTACGTTACTTTCAATATTATTAGTGAAAAGGATTGTTCACACAGCTTCCTGCGAACCGACTATTTTCTAAAATACATTTCAAATCGAACATCACAGTGATACAGAGTTAACGAGGAAAAAACGCGAAGGAAGTTCGGAGCGCAAGGGGTTAAGCTTTCCCGATCCGCTGAAACAAATAGGAACGGATGCTCCGGCTTTCGTATTAATTACAGCTGAAGTAGCAATTACAGGAGAAGAGATCGCGGTGTTTTTTATTTCCCGTCCTCCTCGGGATCGTGAATATTATGAAGCCTTTTTCGAGCTGTGGCGCATATAATCACGATTGAATGAACGAGATCGACCAATGAGGGGCCCCTTACACGATGAACGCGCGGGTAATACAGTTTATATGGACTCGGATACCGCGGCACGGTTCAACGCGAAATACGTGAATTAATTGAAAGATAAAGTCGCGTAACAGGTTACTCCGCTCGCGAGGCTGCCGAGAGGATTATTTATCGTCGAGAGAGCGGCTCGTAGCTCCTCGAAACCGAACTTCACGGTTACCTTTTATCGGCTCCACGTGAACGGGCCGGAATTCGGCGAAACGTAATCTGATTACGCATTAAGACTAACGACTAAACCGCAACCGTTGCTACGATAGCAAATTAATCTCTATAATTATTAATCAGAATTCATAATAATCAGCTGAATCTCAATTGTAGATTAGTAACAACCGTTGAACCAATTATCACGTCTGAACGATCATCAGTAATCTCCATCGTATTCGAACAATGCAAATATTATTCGCGTATAACAGAGTACACAATAAACGAACATGTTGAAATTTCACAATCGTACTATTTCAACATATCAATATTCATAAATATTTCTCTAAGACTACCTTTCACTTAACCTTCTCTTCGTTATCAACCTACAGATCGACAGCAATTACAATTAACACATTGCGCACCGGTAATGAGGAATCTCGTTTTTATATAAAGACACTATGCAACTTCGCTAATTACCGCAGCATTGAAAGAAGTATAAAATTTAATTCGAATCGATTATTTATTTAAAATATATTACATAACAATATGAGACCTGAGTTTTTCTATGTATATGTGTTAAGATCCAACCCAGTTTTATGGAATCCTCGCGAGAACACAAACTAGTACAGAAGTTTAACCCTTTGTACTCGGAAGTTTCTCACTAGAAATATTTAACACTTTCTGACGAGACGAAGACGATATTCTTTGAAATTAACTCGAAGGGAAATTAGAAGTGTATTGAGGGACAAAGCTATTCATTCCAATGTTTCACGTATCGAGGCATTACACAAAGTTCAACATTAACACTAGGTTCACGGGCATTCATTGTACACTTCATTCTATTATACCTAAAAGAATTGATGCTCGTTTATTTAGATTGTGGAAACTAGAGATTTGATAGTAGGTAATTCTGGTACATGTCAATGTGATCGCATCAATCAATCAGCGTAAACATTTACAAAATAATATTTCTAAAATCCAGTATGCGTCAATTTGACGCGTTCCATAAACCTAGTGTTAAATGTCATATTTTATAATCTTCCTGCGTCGAATCAAGTGGTGAGAGTCACCTCCCGAGTGCAACGGGTCAGATTTACTGAGTTATGCATTCCCCAAATTCCAAAGTTTAAAATCACATTTGCGAAGCCATCGATCGCATTCCCCAAGTTACTGAATTCTCGATCAATCCCTCGAAATTCCCGATCTAAATTCTCCCTGCTCTGGATACAAAACTGTATCCAGGTTGCTAACGGTGAACCATCAAATGACGTTTTGCCTGAATCTGTAACATCTGTATGACACGCACCTGTCGACGTTCTCCAGCAGCATGTCGTCCCCCAAATTCTCCTCCGCCGTCCCATGATGGAAGTACTTCCCGGAAAACCCCAGATTGAACTTGAAGCCGGGCACCAGCGCCTGGATCCTCTGCTGGGTGGCCAGCAGCGCCATCACGTCGTCCTTCCTCAGCCTGGTGCCCTTCTCGCCGACGAATATATCGTCCACGTCCACCAGGATCATGCGATTCAGGCTGAGGCTCAATTGGCCGTGCGATAGGTAGGACAGGGAGTCGAGCAGCAGCAGGTTGTGCAGCCAGAAACGCAGCCCCCCGCCGAAGAACACCCTCTGGATCCCGTCGTATCTGCCGTGATCCTGCGTAATGCAAATCCGATAGGACGTTAGGTTTATCTGGCTCGAATTGCCGCCGCCGCCGCCTTCCCCCGGCGTTATTTCCCTCTTTTTTTTCGATTCCGGGATTAAAGCGACCGCCGATCGGACCGTTCCGGCCATCAGGAACCGATAACGCAACGCCGTTTTAATACACCCGGGCAAATTTCGCGGATAATCCCGGCGAATATTATCGGGGATGATTGGGCTTTAACCCTTTGCCCTGCGTCAAAAGATTCAATTTTATCCCAACATATTCGTATCCGGGGGATTTTTCGCGGAATCACCGTTATATCACGCGTAATTAGAATTTTAATGATTCGCAAATATCCTTAAACGGGTCGTTCGAATGATTTATCGAACTATAATGGAGTCAAGCGTCGATGCAAGTTTCGATATAAAATATCATGCGAGCGGTTGAATAATGCGAACGCAGAGATATGCAGCGAGGCGATAATTTCGAAAGTTTGAAGTACACTTCAGGTTTCTTAAAGATTTTTTCTACCGGGGAATATTTATGATTGCAATTTTCCAAAGTTGTTCTCGATAAAGTATTATCCACCGGTTGTAAAGCGGCGCAGGAACATTGCGGCGTTCGTCTCATTGAATTACGAACTTTGCGTAGCCGTTATTAGGACCGAGGAGTGATTTATTAGAAGGCTACACGCAAACAATGGATAAATTATACATACCGCTGTTCCCGTTAATAGTCGTACATTTTAATACGGCCACTCGGCAATGCGTTCGTTCTAATTCTTTATAACGCCGAGTGGCTCAACTATTCCTTTTTCATCGTGCACGGAATTTCCTCGTCGAGCCGGATCGCACAGCCCGGGAACACCCTTTATTTGCGAAAGAAGTCGAGGACCGACTCTAGCGGTGGATTCCATTGTTTGAAGCGTTGCTGCCGGAATGCGTGCACTAATCTGCTTCTCTCTGATCAGAGAACAGTTATGTTTGATCGTACCAACACTGGAACCGTGGTTTAATTGGTATTCTGAACCGAACCGAAACCGATTGTACGCGATTCAGCAGATATTTTCCGTCGAGGCAGAGGAAACCGACCGCCGTATTAAACGGACACATTTCGATGCTCGTCGTCGGTGTCAAGCAATTTATACCTCTAGTCAAACCTTCTTCTATCAACATAATTGGAATACATTCGAAAATCGATGTCGGCGAGCCACCGCAAGAACGACCGGCGAAAACAATTTTATAAAAGGACACAGTTCAATCTGCGTCCGTCAATGTCTCAATTAATTTCACCTCCAATTAAGCCTCCTTTATTCTGAATATTAATTCAATCCACCATCGATTCAGCGTCACTTCAAGCTATTCCAAACCCGATCAACAAAAACAATTTTATAAAAGCTCACGTATCAAACAAGATCCGAAATGTCAATTTCCGTCGAAATCAAATCCTCCTTCTCAATGGTACATCGCAAAAATAGTAATTTCACGATCGGTCGCGGTTCGAACTAGGTTCGTTAAGCTCTCAATCAAGTTTCCCCGCAGATGAAACCTTTTCCCTCGCCGGCATTATTGCAATTCATTTTAGATTCGATATCGCGTCAAGCCGCCGCAAAACCGCCCGCGAAAAACAATTTTATAGAAGGCTGCCGGCCGAGCAACCGGTTCGTTGCCGCGCGCGCGAGCATGTTTCTTCCCCGCGTAGCTCGTTAACGTCATTTTTATGGAACACGGGCAAAAATAAAAGAAAAAAGAAACGAGCGGGTAAAACGTAAATAGACCATCGATCACGGGTCGATCGGTCGTCACGTGAAACGGGAATTGTTTATTGGCCGAGGTGGAATTGCGACGGGCCCGTTTTACTTTTCCACCCGTCTGGCGCGTCGAACGGGCTCACGCGAACGTTAATGGGCTAGCGCGGGCTCGTCGCGCCGATGCTTATCGATCACCGTGTGTAAGCGCGGCGTTAATTTCAAAGACGTTTTACATTAACGCGGCCGACGATACGCGATAGCGCCGTCTAATAGCTCTATTTTCTTCGGCGAGGGTGCTCGAACGTCGGCTTCAATTTTCGCGCGATCGGCGGCGCTCTTGAACTCGTTGCGCTTCGAGAGCGCGACCGGGAATCGTACACGTCCCCCCTCGAACGGGGACAGCGCTGCTCGATACGGAGGAAAAGGTTTCATCGACAATTTCCATCGACGATTCTTCTTGTTCCTATTTTCCTCTTTCGTAGAGGACGATATTAACGAATTGACAGCTTCGAATGACTCTATGGGAAGTCTAAAAGCGCAGCGATTGATGTTCCAGTCGGATTATGATTCTTTTAGGTATTACTGTAATTTCTCGAAGACTGTTATCTTTTTAACACGTTAAAAACCAAATCGAACTGCTATAATTCATTCAATTAAACGTTGATTATTTGAAAACATTTCTACATTATAAATAATACTACGTAATGCAGTGATATTCGGCTGGATGAACATGTAATAATGCAATTCAATGAAATGGTTTGATATTATACTTTTCCCATTTTGTGTATTTTGCTCCGTGAAATCGTGCGGCGTTCAACGTGTTGATAATTGAGAAAGGATTTAGGAATAGGTCAATCTGCTTCATTCGGTAGTTCCAGCGTTGGCGTAATTTCATTCTGTTGCGATACAGGAGTACGTCGGTCGTTATTAAGTAAATAGAGAACATCGGAGAATTCACCGAGAAACGGAAGGAAGCTCTGAATTGCGAGATACTCGTTAATTTCAATCTTTTAGATATCGCGGATACCGGCAGCCACTCTGAACGTTGCAGTACTCTTTCCTCAGAGGCAACAATGCCGAGCAAAGCATTATAAAAAGTGGCTCGAAACCCGCAGTTTATCAACGAGAAGAATAATAACAAAGTGACTCTTGACCCAGTGCCTCAAAGAGCGCCTTCCAAACTAGAGTTACTTTTTCCAGTTGCTTCTGAAAATTCTCGAAACAGCGGGGACAATTCGGAATCAGCAAACAGGGTCTCTATATATATGCCAGCTTACCTGCTTCTCTGTGCACTTACCCTGTATTACACATACACGGATCCGCAATAAAGACGTGAACTGAAAAAAAAGAGGTTGCCCGCGGAGCGAAGTTAATGGGCAAAGTCAATCTAAAAGTTGGTATCTACGGGATCTGGTAGCAGCGTGGCAATCTCCGAAAGTCGTTCGAAATCGGAACTGGAAGAGTCGTTTCCCGTGGTCCTTTGAGAGCCCGACGGAAAAACTTCGATTGGATCGAAGTCGCGGGCCGAATGAACGCTGACCGACTATCGGGAGCTTATCGCTCGCATCGAATGCATCGAACGCATCGACCCGACCCCGTGCGGCTCCCGGTTACTCCGGTGAATTTGTTAATTGTATTGTCATTGGCGGGGGCTATCGGGGCGAGCTTTTGAACCGGCCGGTACGAACGGAGCTTGTTAGCAGTAAACAACAATAATAATCTCGCTGATAACCCCATTACGCGGAGCGGCGTCCGACTAGCTCACGCGCGGAGGATCCACGGATCGCGCAGGTAGTCGGTTAATTAAATCAGGAGCCAATCAGCCGTTCGTTCATTCGATTAATGGGCATCGGTGCGAGCTGCTTCATTTGCCGCCATTCTAGCCGGCAATTTATTTTGTTTCCAGGACACGCCTCGCGCCTGCGAAACGCATCCTTGATGAACGGCGGCTCGGCTAAGGAACGGTGGAGCGGATCAAGCGGGACTCTGCCCGTGGGCGGACATGTTCTGATGAGGTTCACCGATCTGATGGCTGAGTAATAGTCGAGTTACAGGGGGAAAAAACGTACGCGCGTTCGCTGTACCGTCTTCGCCGCCGCTCTGTCGCGTTCATCCGTGCACGGGGGATCTAAAGTTAGCCGAAGGACTAGTTTTTTAGGGGATACGAATATCACGGACACGCGAGCGTTCCGCGGAGAGCGCAGGGAGATTACAGATGAAACTTATAGTTTGATACTGCCGGAACTTCGGGTCGGTCTCGCTTCCTACGTGACACCGCCAGAAGCTGCTGAAGCAACCCCTACCTGACCGCCATCCTGATTGTACAGTTTCGGAATTTATTTCCGCCAGACCGCTGCCGGGGACCCGGGAACCCTAAATTTAAGTACCCAAGTGTCTCCCAAGTAGCAATATTCGCCGCGCCCCAAGTTTCCAGAATTTGTCACGCGGCCGGGCCGGTTACAGAGCGGGTGACCTACCCTCGCGGTAGTTTGAAAATATTTCATCAAGGCCGACGGTGGCGGGAGTTTAAACCGTACGTTTCGCTAGTACCGTGTCTGGATTGTTCGCCGGAAGTATGCGCATGCTCCGCGCGTTACGTCTTTGTCGGCCGTGTAATAACGGGGAAAACCGTTGGATCGCCGAGGAGGGGAGAGTTATGGGAATTTTCGGCGCCCTTCGTTCTCGGTCTCGAGCGAACCTTCTTTTCGGGGGAAATCTTTTATTGTCTCGAACAAGGTTTCTGCTCCTTAAACCTACGTTATTACTAATCGTTAAACAGAACATCGAAGACTCTAAATAAAATAGAAGTTCGCAACGTTCAACAAACTTTGTCTTAAAAGAAAACAACAACCTTAATCTCAGTTTCAAAACGCCAACAGATCCTCTCCACGTCCTATCACCGAACTCTAACGAATGCGATCATATCACAAAAACGATTTCAAAACCAACATTAACCGTTTGAGTGCTGAGCCAAAATTGCGGAGTAATTACTATGTTTTTCAAGAATTAAATCAAACTAAATTTATTCGAGTAAATGGTATTTTTTGATATTTTTTTTAATAACACAATATATGTGATCTCATTAGATAACCACACTTATTCACTTCCGCATTTTTGGTAAATGTCCACAAAAGTTGTTCAGCATCCAAACGGTTAATATCTCGCTTTTGATATGGTTTGGTAGTACTGAGAACTTAGATTCTCTTAGTAGAAATTCGATTGGAATATCGATGAATTCCAATGATGTAATTAATATAGCGTTCGTCTCGATATTTCTACGTATTTTAAATACAAAGTACAACGAAGTCCAAATAAACTGTAACAATCCTGGAAACAAATCACGAAAAGCCACCGTCAAATTGCCGCGAACCACCGTTCGAAGCGAACAGAGGGAGGATCTAATAAAAAATTTCGCTGCGGCGTGCCGGCAGTCGCAAAGATGGAGGATCCATCGCGGGTAACGCTCGCGGGTAACGCAGGCAGATGATATCACGTCTGAGCTGTTTGTTATATTAAGGGTGTATTTCCTGTTCGCTCCGCCTGACGCTCCTTCGTCGCGAAGGATTCGGATGTGTCCGCCCCGGGTTGTCTGCTGTCTGCCTAGGCGTTCGCATTCTCGCGTTCTATAGATCACGGTCCGTGCTCCTCCATCCGGCGAGCGCTCGCTTCCGGCCGGGCCTTTAGTGCCGTGGAATCTCGCAATCGCGAATTCCTCCGTGAATGTAAACGCCCGGGCGGAACAGCTTTACGGATTGTTTCAGTCGGCTCCTCAGTTTTCCGGGCCAGTCCGACGCGGCAGCAGGCCCGAGACTCCGCAGCCCTCCCCTTCATCCCCCCCGCCGCGAGCCACCTCTGTTTACGCCGTCCATTTTTCTTCTTCTTAATATTCCCCGCGCAATCTCTCGCTGTCTCCATTCTTTCCCCTTTTTATTGCGCCCTCGCCCTTGCCTAATTTGCATTAGTTCGCGCCTGTCCCTCCGCCGGTGTTGTTTATACGGTTGCTTTAAGTCCGACGCCACCGTGCAGTCGGCCAGCAGCGCCACCATTTTTCTTCTTAATGGTATTCTTGCTCGCTGATACGTACTCCCCCGCGTTTATTCGGATTTCATATTCGACCGGGGACTTTATTATGCGATTCCTCGCGGCACTTGACTCTACGAGGACTCGCGATTCCAAGGGAATAACTGTGTACGCCGGGTTCGCCGGTGGAGGTTAGGGTATTGGTTCAGGAATTTATGATTGAGCGAACAGGGGATGTGGAAGTGATGATTATTTGAAGGAGAACGGGGAATATACAGAAATTACCGGGAATATCTCCGAGAAATTCCCTCGTTGTTTGTGTCCAGGAATATATTCGAGTAGAATAGATATCGGAGTTTAACGCGCCTCATGAACAGTCAATATTTTCCCAGCAATCTAGCAGGGAAATTCACGAAATGTAATATCAACTTCTTTGCATTTTTCTTCGAATAGAATTCCCCGGGAAGAATATAGAGCAGGAAAGAACGCGAAGAATATAAGAGCATGAATTTTCATATCCGTTCCCTCTCGAAGAAATTGAATGATGCCGCTTCGTGTGTTTCAGCAAATTTACAATATTATTGTTACCATCACCTCGCGCTGTTTTCTACTTGAAATTCGAGATGGAACTTCATTCCTCCGCGCTGCCGGCGTTTATTTTCGTTCTCTCCGACGCACGGAGAAGATACAAAGAATCCTTAAGTATTTGTTCTACATTAGTTCCATTCCTCAGCCTCTCGTACTCTTTGTTTACTCTATATGTTACCAGCCTGCAGTTTCTACGTACTCGTATCTCCCCTCCTCCATCTTCATTTCTTCGCAGGAGATTCAAGACGCACTCTAGCCGCGCAGGATGAGGATAGAACCGAGTACGCGCGCGGAAACTTCACATTTGTTTTCGTTTCCCGGAACCCCGGAGTTCGCAGGATAAAATAAGAAACACGCGAGTCGAGCTGCCTCGAGGAGATACCACCATCCCCTGAAGTTTCGATTATATGAAATTATTGCCGCTGCACCGAATTGATTACAATACTTGTGCGTTCCTCTGCGATCCACGGATTTAAAAGCTTTGAAAATCAGTCGACGACTGCTGCAAGATAATTTTCTTTGTTTCTGAACTTGTTTGGCTAATTTTCGCGAAAGAAAGATTTCGAAGAGTAAACATTTTTAAATTAACATTTCGAATTTCGAATCGTCAAACTCCAAATATTCAAGTATTCAATCATTCAATCGTTTGACTGATTTTTGCGAAAGAAAGATTTGAAAGAGTAAACATTTTTAAATTAACATTTCGAATTTCCAATCGTCAAACTCCAAATATTCAAATATTCAATCATTCAATCGTTTGATTAATTTTCGCAAACGAAAGATTTCAAAGAGTAAACATTTATAAATGAACATTTCGAATTTCCAATCGTCAAACTGCAAATATTCAAATATTCAATCACTCAATCGTTCAATTATTCAAACGTTCAAAATTCTCTAAATTGCAAACGTTTCGCTATTCAAATTTCAATTATTCAAATATTCAGAATTGCCGAATATGCAAACTCTTAAATATTCAAATTCCAAGCAACGAAACATTAAAAACAAAATCCAGTCGGTAAACCCCGGTCGCCGCTGTCCCGTTAAGCGCATCGCGATTTAGGAATCAAGACTGCCATTAACCGGATACACGGACACTACGCAGCACCGCACGGCGGTCAACGAATCGACCGACGGGGCGACAGCGGCGATGCGTTTTGGCATCGTGTCCGCATCTCCGCAGGCCGTACCGCGGCCGCGCGGTTGCGGATGCCATTCCGCTCCGCCGCCGCCGCCGATTCAGTGTCAAACGAGGCCTGGAAAATCGGCTGACTGTCACGCCGCTGGAAGACAAAAGGCCGTTAATTAACGGGTCCAAGTCCCCGGGATCGAAGCCCTTTGGCGAGCGAAAGTTCGAAAAGGGTCGCTCGTTAACGAAATTTTCGCGAGCGTAACGCGCCCGACGAACGCATCGCGCGTTTAATCAAACGAACCGCGCGCCGCCACTTTGTCCGTTAACAACGAGGGTATTAATTAATAATCCGAGTAACAGGGGGAAACGACTACGCAGTCGCTCCGAACAAAGCGTCGTCGCGTCGAAAACCTGCCGGCGAAGTCTTGACGCGTGGCTCTTCTTTGCGAAACGATACTCGCGTCCCTCGTCTAGCGTGTAATTAATATTCCTATATCGACAGGTATCGTCAAAGAACTTTGTCTCCCTGCTGCAACGAAGCAACGAAACTGTATAAGGTTACAATACTGATGTCCGATGCATCAGTGAAATATGAGTATCGTCGGGGCGTTTAGTTATTAGACACGCTGCGTGACACTTGGACGATCGTTTTCTATTCACAACGAAGTACCTATCTTCCAACCACCGGAATCTAATATATTCCGTCATACTGTACCTTGATGCTTCAAACCTTTCTAAATTTATCTTATATTTTCATTCTACTACTGACAGTTTGAGAGTATCAGTTATAATTCATAATAAAACATCTCCTCCTCATTGGAGATTAATTTCTTTTATACAATGTCTATTTCAAATATTTCACCCAACTTCTCTTATGGCACCCTGATTATATTCCATGGAATTTGTCTAATTACCCGTTGAGAATATCAGTTATAATTCATAATAAAACATTTCCTCCTCTTTGGAGATTAATTTCTTTCATTATGATGTCTCTATTTCAAATATTTTACAAACTTCTCTTATGGCACCCTGATTATATTCCACGCAATTTGTCTAATTACCCATTGAGAATATCAGTTATAATTCATAATAAAGCATTTCCTCCTCTTTGGAGATTAATTTCCTTCATACAATGTCTATTTCAAATATTTTACCAAACTTCTGTTATGGCACTCTGATTATATTCCATGGAATTTGTCTAATTACCCATTGAGAATATCACTTCTAATTCATAATAAAACATTCTCTTCTCTCTTATGGCACCTCGATTGTATTCCATGGAATTTTTCTAGTTACCCGTTGGTTAAAGGCATAAAGCTCGGTAAGTCCACTCTCACCTGAATGACGGTCGCCAGAGGACTCTTGTTGGCCGGATAGTCGAGGCTGTCCCGGTGCGCCCACGCGAGCGGCTCGTAGGTGCTGTGATTGGCCTGAAAAATGGTCCAGTCACCGCCAGGAAGCGGTCCCCAGGCTGTTTCCCCGGATCTGGTTAATCGGAGAATAGGGGAGGCCGCGTTCAGCTGAGCATCCTGCGGCAGAGAAAGACGCGATCTCATTTAGCCGGCCGTTGGAGAACTTTCTCGGACATTGTCGACTCCGCTCTCCTATGCCCGCCGTTTATTCGATCCCGCCGCCCCTCTATTTTTTTCCGCTGGCCGTCGGTTTACACGCGACGAGTGAAACGAGCCGACAAAAGTCGGAAATTAGTTCCCTTGTTCCGATTCTATTACGCCTGTTGTCGGAAAGAGCCGGGAACCGGTGAACGGCGCAGCGTTTCCGCGTCGCACGCCCGAGCGTCGGATGGGATTTTAATATTCGATATTTAATAAACAAACCGCGAATCTCCACAGTTTGTTTTTGGAAAGACAAAGAACAGAGCCGACGGAAATATTTATATTGGAGCCGAAAATTCTTTGAGTTAAAATATTCATGATATTTTGCTAATGATAACGTCATACTACTGGATTTCATCATTCAAAAGGTGTAGATAGCTTGACAAATTACTAATGAAGTTAATTCAATATGGAAGCTCAATATATAAATCTATCGGAATTTGAACGCATACGTTCCCAGAGTTCCCGCAGAGAAAGTTAACCCCTTGCCGTGCAATGACGAGTGAGACTCGCGACGAAGATTTCTATACTAATTTAACAAGAATCAATGTTGTTCATTTAAAAAATTAAATTCATTAAAAAAAACAGCTATTTTGCTATTATCGATGTATCTTCAAATGAAATTTCCACCTCGAGTAGAATGGAAAATTTCATTGTATCTCTTACAAATTGTCGATAGTAAAATATTACTCAGTAACGAAAGTGAATACGCCAAGGGGTTAATGAAGCTACTCGGTAGTTCCGGGTCGAGTTAATTCTCAGTGGTCCAAACGGATTCTTCTAAGAACTCCGCTAAACGAACGCTATCAGCGGCCGTGAAAACGGAGCTTTAAATGCTCCGTACGCGCGGAAAGGCGCCGGCCAAACAGAAATTTATTTCCCCGGTCCGAAGGGGTTGTTAGAATAAAAACACGCCAGGGGCGAGCAATTAATCTTCGTTAAGCCGTTCCTTTCATCGTGTTCCATACACGCGGCGTCCGCCGGAGAATGCATGAAATCCGTGCGATCTGTTTATCAGCGGGCCGGTCGTTAAACAAATATTTCATCCCCGCGGCGGAGCGGGTCGCGGGATTCACGTGAATCGTTCGGAACGGGGGGAAAAAACCGTTTGCACGATCGCCCGAAAGGAAACGAACGGAACAAAGATTCCGGGCGTAATGCCGCGGTAATCACAGAGCGCGGGGGCACGCGCGATCTCACGCGATATGCAAATTGATTCGGCGTGCCGGCCTTTCCCGCCTAAGAGGCATTTGTCGTATTGCGGTGCGGCGAAAATGCCGCGGGGTCGTTGGTTTCGCGAGCGATCCGTTCGTGAAATAAAGGCTGCCCGGCGGCTTCGTCACGGAAACGGAGATTGCCAATCCGCGGGTCTACCGGTGTCGTATAAATTCCGACGTTATCGAAATTTATTTTCCGACAACTGACGGAGGTTCTAACGCTCGGTGACTGTTGTCTTGGGAGAACAAAGGGACCGGCGAATGCGTCGCTTGCATTTCTAGTATATTCTAATTGTTCTAATTTTTCGTTAGTATATTACAGATGCATTTGACCTACGTTTGACAAGTATATATTTGATTGATTTTATTGCGCGCAATGTAAAACTTCTGAAACTAAATTCCACAGTTAACAGGTTAATTGTAGCGACTATAATCAGTTTAGTTGTATTTCTAGTATATTCTAGGACTAAACTGATTATAGTTGTTACAATTAACCTGCTAACTGTGGAACTTAGTTTCAGAAGTTTTACATTGCGCGCAATAAAATCAATCAAATATATACTTGTCAAACGTAGGTCAAATCTGTAATATACTAACGAAAAATTAAAACAAAGAATTACACGTTTATTAGAAATAAATAATTCATAGCTTAAAGAATTAGTATCGTTTCGAGCTTTAAGACGACGCGTATACTCGTCAAACGCAGTTAACCGGTTAAAAATATAGAATTATAGTAACAGTATACTTTGCTCTATCTCTTTCGTGACTGCACTCGAAAGAAGCGATGTATCGTTCGTAATTAACTGAAAGAAGGGAGCAATTATTACATGAAGAATAATATATAATTAGAACTGACAGGGATCAAGTGCTAGAAGTTAATACCGAAAAGGCTCGTCGATCTGAATCCTCGATAGGAAAGTTGTTAATTTATGTGGGAAAGATGGAGGAATGCGTTGCGGTCTCCGTGTAAATGGTTTCGCAGATATACGAGGTATCTCGGGTCTAGACAATGCCTGCTGAACTGACCTTTAATCTAAGATTAGTGTGCACGAACAGAGGAAAGCCCTTCAGCTGCGCGCCGACAAGACTCTCCTCGCCGGACGGCGCGAAGCCCACGATGCCGACGGAGTACTCCCTGCAGTATTTATCCAGCAGCTCGCGGTTCCATTTGTCCATCTGCAGATACTTGTTTAGGTTCTCGAAGATCAGCACGCCGTACCGACCTTTGTCCAGGTTCGTCAGCACCGGCAGCGACTTGCCGGCGACCTCCAGCTTGTATCTGAAAGAAATTCGACGGATTCGATTAGAATTACCGCGAGCGACGTTTCAAATTCATTTTACACCGGGCCACTTCGCTGGTGCACCAGCCTCGAAAGGGAAACCGGTAATCGCGTTAAAGAATGTTTCGCAGCCACCCTACGAAACATTAAGCCGCGATCCTTAAAAACCGACGGCGAAGTATCGATCCCCGATGTTTCATAATTCCTTGTAAAGTTGCGAAGTTATCTGGTGTACTCAGGTATCTCGTAAAACGCGTTAAGGCGTCTCGTGTGATGGGATCGGGGGGCTATTAGTCACGATACGATCTAAAACTACGTGTTCCCATGGGAGGAGCGCTCCTCGCTCGGCAAGTACCATAAGTTCCCTAATTTTACTTGCTAGATAAAACTCCCGACCCTAACGTCCCATAACCTTCCGCCCGAAACTCGATACGACCGAAAGTTTCGCGCGCGGAACAGTCTTATCAATCAAACGCGACATCCGTGCTCAATTCCAATTTCCCCGATATTCCGAAATGCATTATATCCTCTCGTGTTAATTACAATCCGCAATCGTTCCGATGAAATCGAGCCCGGCAGACGTCGAAACGATCGTCTAAATCATAGAGCAATCCCATTGTCTATAATGCCAAGTTTCCATGTTCTAAGACCCGTTTAATCGACCGTTCGTATAGTCTCCGCCATCGAGCGGGAACATAGTTTCCGCGAATATCCGCAATAAAACGGATGAAATTTCGTAATCCGGGAATCTTCGGCCGGAATCGGGCACAACGGGGAGGAATTCTTCAAACATTTACGAGCAGTATCACTGTGTCAACGAGCTACCGCCCCCCGAACCGGGTTACGTCGCAGGCGGATTACAGGGCGCGAGAGGAGACAACAAACTTTCCTCGAACTTGCCCCTCCGGACGGTTTTTACCCAGCTCGCGAGATTATGCAATAAAGCAAGCATCGCTCGCAGCGAACGCGTTCCGATGGAACGGAATAAACCAGTGGCAACCTGCGAGCTAGTCGCTGCGAATACTGTGTAATAAATATATAAAGTTTGCCTCTTTCTTCTTCGACGAAAGTAAACGGTTCGGTTTGTAGAGACTGTCTCTCGAATGAAACTCCTGATGCCGTCTCGCGAGTGAATTAAACGAAATTTAAACGAGACGTAAGAAGGTTAGAACAGAATAAAACAACTAATTATTAGCAGTAATAAACGTTACTTTTTAATACTTCCTTGCGCACTCCACATTGCTTTACGCTCTTCCATCAAAAATACACTTCCGCAAATTCTACGAATTTCTCACGTATTACATTTTTCATTAAAACAAACACCTTTAACAAACTTAAACCAGACGTAGGCAGGTTAGACGAACAGAATAAATAAACTAATTATTACCAATAATAAACGTTACTTTTTAATACTTCCTCGTGCATTCTACATTGTTTTAGTTGCTCCTCTATCAAAAATACATTTCCGCAAATTCTACGAATTATTTCTCACGTATTACATTTTTCATTAAAACAAACACCTTTAACAAACTTAAACCAGACGTAGGCAGGTTAGACGAACAGAATAAATAAACTAATTATTACCAATAATAAACGTTACTTTTTACTACTTCCTCGCAAAGCTTCCGCAAATTGTGCAAACTATTTCCAACGTACTGCCTCGTCCCTTTCCATTGAAATAAATACCTTTAACAAATTCCCATGGTAAAAGGATTACCGCAGAATTTTTTCGTACGACCCGCAGCCGAAATCGGACTCGCGCTCGACCCTTTGTACTTAAAAGGTTATGCATCACTGGAACCAGCGTTCCCTTCCGTCGCTTTGCCTCTGTTCGTCCCTCGCGCAGCGTTCCCGCGAATATTTCGACGAGCTCGCGGACGGCGGCGTCGACGGACGTCGCGACAATTTCAATGCGCCCCCTCCGACCCCGCCCGATCCGATATTTAAAACGGGAACGGTAATAAATACAAGGGGAGGCGGAAAAACGGAATATCGATAAGAGAAGCGACAGCGGAGCGAGGAGGAGGGAGGGTTCGTTATTGTTCGAACGATAAAACAAGGACACTTTCGTATCGAAATCCCATTTGTGCCGCATCTGAAACTGTTTCGAGAATAATAAAGCAATTACACGTATAATGCACCTCTCGCGTTTCGCGCGGCGGGCTTCGTCCCTTGGCCGAGTACTTTCGTTTTAATAACAGCTCGGACCTCCGCGACCGTTCCCCCCGCAACGGTGCAACGGCTCTTTTATTCCGTCGCGCTTTTCACTCGGCGCCCTGCCTGATGAAATCACTGTATCGACGGAAACCGGACTCGACGGTGCGTTTATTCGCTCGGAAAAGGAGGTGATTTTATTTTCTAATTGGATGTCTTTATCGAACGGGGATGTAATCTTCTCCGGCGACCAGTTGTCTTGCTGATGAGGCCGGCCTTTGTCAACTCTTTAATCCCGGTCCAGCCGTTCCTCTTCTAGGCTCCGTGCTCTAGCGTTCGTGTTACAATCAATTCTACTTCGAGCCATATTTGCATCGATTTTAAAAATCAGTAGACTGAAAGATCCTTTTACTTTGTCAGATATTTAACCGGTTAACTGTGGAATTTAGTTGGAAAACCCTCTCGCTCCGCGCGCAATGAAATGAAAAATGGAGCGTGTACTCGTCGAAGGACGAATGCACGTATTTTAATGAAAGATCAAAGCGAAACAAAGAATGTTTATGTGAAAAAAAGAATTCATCGCTGAAAGAATTAGTACCATGTCAAGCTTTACGATGACGTGTATACTCGTCAAACACAGTTAACTGGTTAATATTATTCTATTACCAATTATTATACTTTGGAGCGAACATTGATATAGAATATGCCTAAATTTGTTCTTTTTCTTAATGAATAATTAATAATAAAGTAGTTGTATCCATCATAGTTGAGAAATAAATCATAGGGCAAGGGGTTAACTACCCTTCACCTGTTAACCGTGGAATTTAGTTCGAAAAATCTCTCGCTCCACGCGCAATAAAATAAAAAAGTGCAGCGTGCACTCGTCGAAGGAAGAATGCACGTAGAGTATATTTTAATGAAAGATCAGAGCGAAACATGTAATTCTTCTTTATATGAAAAAATAAAGAATTTAGAAGAATTTAGAATTAAAGAAGCGTATACTCCTTAAATGCAGGGAAAATGCACTTAAAATATATCCTAACGAAAAGCGACAAAGAAGAATTACATGTTCGTCTCAAAAAATAAATAATCCATCGTTGAAAAAGTACCGTTAAGAATTTTAAGATGTGTATACTCATCAAACACAGTTGGTTAACCGTTCCATCTGCTACTCTTAGATTCTGCTACCTACGATCCACATTATAATGAAAACTACTTCAGACAATATCCACACACACCCCAAAACATCGACTAAAACTCCACTCCATTCGACCACCCTGTCGAAAGCAAACTCTCCCATGGAACTCAGCTCCACTAAATCATAGGAACCAATCGGAGACTTAGGGAACGCAAACCAGAGGACACCTGCAAGCGACGTCCTCTAAAATCAACGGTTCACCTGTAAGCTCTTTCAATCCTCCTCGAGGACCCGAGTCCATCAACAGTTCACCGTACAGCGACGGCCGCGTGTCACGGCAGAAAATTGTAGTTAACTAATGAACGAAATGCCCGGTTAATTCAGCGGAGTAATCGGTCCGATAATTGGCAACCGCCCATTAACGGCCGCCCGGCAATTTACGGAGCTAACGAACTGTCATAACGAACTCCGGGCATGGCTCTTTTGTTCTTGGCCGGCGATCGGACCCAGCGAGCCAATTGGCCGCGTGTGCTCCGATCCTCGCGGAGGATCCACCCTCCCCTGGCCCCCTTCACGGCGAGATTCAAAGGCGCCGGGATCCCCCACCCCTCGCCGCCCCCCGGCCGGCAGCCATTGAAAACCTCCTGACCGCAATTAGGACTGTTTAGCATTCAGCGTTCGCCGGTCGAGCGTCCTTCCCGCGGATTATATCCTTCGATTGGAGTGGCCACTTCCATCCCTTCACGCTTCGATTGACGGCCGCGGAAAGGGTGGCGCGCAACGGCCGCTCGACCTCGGCGCGGGCTGCTGGAAGATTTTAACTAGCGCCGCCGGTCTACGCGTTGCCGGGTGTGGATGAAATATTTCCGAGGGAAGTAGGGATCGCGATGGGGTGAACGCGGGAAAATCGATCGCGAGTCTGTCCTGAGAATTTTAGGAACGGATGTTTCAGTGATTCGAGTGATTTGTAGAATTGAATCACGGTTGACGTGTTTTTTCGCGGATCTAGACGCGATGGCTGCTCCGATGAGGGGTCCAGAGTTTTTGCTTCGAGTTCGAGGAAGATGGAAGAGAATTTAACGCTTTGCGCTCGACAATATTTTTTATTGCAAAAATTCATTTTCTGACGAAATGTTAACGATATTTGCAACTTACATAAAGAAACATCTTGCATCGATTATGGGACAGAGTTGTTTTATTTCTGTTTCATGTGTTAGTACCTTATTCAACATTTTATATTGTATTTTCATTTTATAATGTTGTTGCGCTCAGTGAGTCGCTAAGAAAGTAGTTGAGCTAATGAACGTTTCGACGAAGAGTTCGATGTCTCTAATGTTCACTTTTACTTAAGGAACGTCGAATAAAGACGCAAGGTTCAGAAGCTCGCCGTGTTATCGAGAATTTCAGCTGCGATCGATCGTAAACCGAGGGCCACCGAAAGCGAGAGGTGTTGATCAAGTAACAATTAACCGAGAGTGAAAGAGAGGCCGTTAACGAGGAAGGGCCGTGTAATTTTAACGGGGCGCCGGCGTAATCGATTCCACGCAAGTCACCGGCGGCCGGTGGAACGCGTTAGCGTGTCCCGGCCGGGAAACGGAAAATATTAATGGCCGTGCCGGGAAAGCGGACTTTTAATTAGTGCCGACCGCGTTAATTCGGCCGATTAAACATTTACATACAATAACGGGCGCAATTTCCTCAGGCAAC